GGCTGCGGGAGCAGGGGAACAGAAAGACAAAGTGCAGCTGCAGGGACTTCTCTAGTGTCCTGTTGGCCAACAGTGGCAAATTCCAGGTGCGTCTGGAGGAACGAAAGAACATGTGGCCCATCCCCGCCTGCCCATTGCCAGATACTTGGAAATGGAAGGTCGGGGACACATCTCTGGCCATGCTGGCGAACAGCCTTCGATGGACCCGCACTCTGGTCATTCACCGACTTCTTTCTGGAGCCTGTTACAGCCTTGGCCTTGACAACATCCTTGGCGATAGATGGAATATTTCGACCTAGACTCCTGCTACCGCTCCAGACTCCTTCCCTTGCGTAGCGACACGCCCGGAGCCTCCAGCCTCTGCTGGCCTGCAGGAATCACTGTTAGCTTTGAGCAGCCAGCAGAGGTGGGGGACCCCAATATTTGCTGACTGGCCCCACACTCTCCAAAGGCCAATCTAGCTGAGCCGCAGGGTCCAAAACCAACTCTGGCACAGGAAGCAGCCAAATATTTCCCGCGAGGGGGGCGCCCCCCCCCCCCCCCAGTATCTGTGTGATTCAGAAAGCCTGGGAGCCAGGGCGTTTGTCTCTTTTCCAGAACTGCCCCGCACCCCAGCTGGAAGCGTCCCCTGCGCCTCTGCTTGTGAGCAACGTCTCTGGGCACTGCTTACCACGGGTGGCTCCTGGGGGGTGGGGCAGTGGGGTTAAGGCAGGCCCCCCCCTGCCCTGCCCCTGCCCCCCTCTCAAAAGCAGCCAGCAAACTCCATCCCAAACCCTGTTGTGCCCCCTTCCATTCTGTGGAGATAGGATACAAGGTAGGAGGGGGCACCCTGACATCAGCACCGCCTGCTCTCCCTCCCCTGCTCTGCACCGCAAGCAGAAGACTCCCGAGGGGGAGGCAGCTACCAGGCACAGAACAGGAGATGTGCAGCAGTGGGATGAAGGGGCAGCTGAAATGTTGGCACTTGCTAGCCTCTTAGCCAAACCTGTTACAGGCTCCAAGAGCTACCAGTAGATCCCGATCTCCTGGTTTCCAACTATGGCCCTAAAGGATACAGAAGTGTCAGGAGGATCCCCATGCCCTGTGTCCAGTGCTGCACACACAC